AATATATCAATTTATGTGAATATGACTGAAAAATTTTAATTTTTTCTGAAAAGGTGGTGTCTATTTACTTGTGACCACGCTGTGTACTTTGAGATCTACTAGTGTTCTGGCCATTTCTGTATCGATCAGGAACTCTATCTCTCGCTCCTATACCCTTACAGGTGTGTATCAAGCTCAACTCAACCCCCAAAAGAGCTGTGCTAACCATCAAACCTTTCAGTGCAAGCTGTCTACCATGCACCTTTAATTTCTGTGGCCAGTTCCTACTTGGTCTCCATTATTTTTTTAGAACTGTAGCAGCAGTGTTTACCACTTACTGATAATTCTTTTATCGTATCTTCCAGGATGATATCCAGTGGAGAAATATGCAGCATAAGCTGTGGCATAAGAAAACATAGGGGACAGGAATTACTCTGCCCATTCACTGAGAACCAGTGCTATGATGTATGGGTGGCTGGTTAACACAAGGCGAGGCTCAAACTTGGCATGGTGGAAGTACCTTGGTAGAATGCTCCATCCAAGGTGTAGCAATAGCAGCTGCTACTGAACGCTTCTTCTTCCTTTCTTATGACTAGTTCGAAGTCAGCACTTCATATCTTGTATCTTTAAGAGAGAGAATAACTCACACCAAGATGATACCTGATCATCTTGCCTGAAAGTCCCTCAACAAACATTTCACAAGGATGTCTTTGTGATCTGCAGAAGCCACAAGGGGGTATATGTTAGTGTGCATATGGTGCAGATGCTCCACAGAAACAGCCACATTCATAGAAGGTTCTCCACCCTTGAACCTTGAACTATCTCAATGAAGCAAACGATTTCTACTGGGTCGAAATATTGGAACATCTTGGACATGACTTTATCCCAGTCTTCCAGTTGTGCTTCACTTAGATGCTTCGTGGTGTGCAGGGCTAGACCATTCATACTCTGGATCAGACATTGGACTGCCTTCTACCGAGACCACACACACAAACTGACTGACTCACTCAAAGCGATGTTCCACGCTGACTAAATCTCATGTTACTAAACTCTACCCACGTGACTGATCATTCCCGTTGAAACTTAAGGGAAGTTATAACCACGAAATATTATTTGACCTACCACTGGAGGACACTGATGTTGACCTAATGCACAAGATCCAGCTTTATAGTAAAATCACCCATGTGCAAACCAAGTGTTATCTACAAGAGAATAAGTAAGAACACAAGTACGTCCAATGTATATTGGGATATTCGGCAAGATAAATTATGAAGTAATAGTGAAGTCCAAGAAATGGTCTAAGTCTTTTTTCAACACATTTTTAAATACTGATTGCAAGATCTACTTTTATTCACTCACAGAGACCTGTGGTTTAGGTCAGTTCCTTTCATTTGCATGTTTTTGGCTAATTGGCTAATACCTGTCTGAGACACCATCAACGTCGTGGGTACAGTACAGTAGACTCTGAACCTTGGACTTGTAGTCAGTTATGGCCCAGGGTAGCAGAATAACAACTTTCTTCACGAGCCATTGTCCCCCTGTCAGGATAGCTCTTATCACCATGGGGCTTTTGAGTATCCACTGGTCGTTTTATTCACTACTTTGTACTCATTATCTCAACTAGCAAATAAACAACTATGACTGGTGGACTCCATCCACAAGCTGCACTTCCATTCCTTTTGGCAAATTTCAGGTGGCCTTAAAGAGCTGGAGTTGTGTTATATTATTCTGGCTGGCAATATCCAGGGAGTCCTATACAGACCACCCATACTGTCTCAGCTTCGTTAGAATCCAGTCCATCCTGGAAATCCTCAGTCATTGGTGCTTCCCTTGCATTGAGATTAACTCCAAAGGGCAATGCCAGTTCTGCTATTCTGGGTACACCAGATAACAGATGATCTTTTTAATTTGCAGCTGCAGAAAGATCAAAGTCATGAACCTTTGCAGCATTGGCGAAAGTCTGACATCTAGGATTTCTCCAAGACCTAACAACTCTCTCATCCAACTATCTTTCTTCAGGACTATCTCTTCATCTCAGTCACGAGTACTTTCACTTGCAGAAAATGTCATTCTTTAACGCGTCTGTAACGCAGACCTACAACAGTTTATAGCAGGATACAAATCTTCAAGTTTGTAGGAACATTAAAGGAGAAAAAACCGGAATTTTTCATCGTTATCTGAACTCGACGTTGAATGATTTTCACTAGATAATTTACAAGAACCGCCCAACAAAAGAATGACCCACAACAATAAACACAACTAAAGTAAAACATTAACCAAGTTGCAAAACAGGCGTATATGGCCAAGATGATTTATACATACTTGCGTATGCGTCTTTTGATTTCTTTGAGTAATAATTAATTACTATAAATCGCTGTACCACAATGCACCCAGTATAAAGGTGAAAGAGTTAAAGATAAATATTTTGAGCGTAAAGCTTATCCACATACTCGTTATGTTGAGAGCCCAATTATACAATAAGCTATATTTACTTTATTAAACGTGTTGTATCGAACATGGGTTTTATTGTAATTTCATAAACTTACTGCTGACCCATTGAAGGGCAACCCTCATACACATTATTAGTTTGGTACATCGTTTGACGTAACATGTTATTATTAATAAAATTAATAACATCGCCACTTACAATACAGTGATTTAAGAAAAAAGAGAGAATAAAATCATAAATTATCGGTTCAAAAAGAAACAAAAAGTCTTGTAAACACAGAATTTGATTTTATGAATGATAAACTTAAATTTAAAAAATAAAAGTTCAAGTGTAAATCCCTAGCGGTTAGGGCATTATTGTATTGTCACACTGAGCGTGTGTGTTGCTATGATGATGGATGACAGAAGGCTCCGAAAAGTTGCACTGTATTCTGGAGTTGTAGCTGGCATTGCATACTTAAGTTATTCAGTTTTAAAAACAGCCTTTTGCGGACGAGGTTGGTGGTCAGAGCGAAATAAAAGTGAGTTTAAACTAAATTAAAAGATACGATTATGGAATTTCAAAACGCGAATTAGTTATTGCAATGGGCATTAGGGAAAATGCGGAATGGCGTTCAGAACCAGGCCAAACGTACTCAATAATTCGGTAGTGTAAATTAAATAAAGAGTGGAACATTTAACCTATAAAAATAGCATTTCAAATTAAAACATATAATACTTGACTTGGTTGAACTTCTAAAATACCAAAGACAAATTGTATTTCATTGATGTTTTAAATTATACTTTGTTGGTTTAAAAACTTTAATTTTATGTGACGTCAGCGACAGTAGTAACACTAATACTAATTGTCTCGCAAAATCAGGCAAGGTGAAACGTGGAACCATTAAATTTTGAAAATAATAACATCATAGTTTTTGGGGGGATGTTAAAAAGTAATTCTTACAAAACTAACAATATCAGAAGTCATAAAACTTCAAAATATTATCGATGTGGGCTACAGTTTGTTTGAGATTGAGTACAAAATACGACGCTGTCAGTATAATTTATAAGTATAAACTATGTTCAAATATAGTAGAATCTTTTACTTCTAGTACTTATACTACTAATATACTATTCTTTGAATCAAAACGAGAAGTAAAGAATAAGTATCAAACACCAACGAAACAATAAGAGGTCACATGTGGCTACACATTCTCCTTATGAAAGTTTGATTATGATATACTTTTTAAAGCTTTGCACCATGCAATCTCAAGTACCAAGACAAATTAAATTGTTACTGTTAATATCACAAAATTATCTGTGTATAAAGAGTCAAATGTATGAAAATTAATAAATGAATACTGTAAACTGTTTTAGTCAGTTTTTGGCATCAACTTTACACTGAAAGAAACTGTGTCACAAATCAAAGCACACATCTTTAAATGCTCTGTTACATGATATATAAGATCCCTTGACACAAACTGACAAAGCAACAGTTATCCTGGAATGAAACTTGAATACCACGCAAACCTCATACAACAATCTTAAACATCAATTTTGGAAATGAGAGCCTTTTAGTGCTACTAGTAAAAACACATTTGTGAAGATCATGGTATATTCTATGACAATATTTAACACTTCTTGACACAAAAGTTGCTTATACCAAAATGTAACACTGATTACCATGTTAACCATATCAGTCAATCTTAATCCATTTGTTGTAAGACACGTATAAATATAAAACATAACCTGAAGACATATTTTCTAGAGTAAGTAGACTATAATAGAACAAAAATCCAGGGTGTTTAACCAGACAGACAATTATGTGTCAGAAAATGAAATAATGGAAAAATAGTGTTTGTAGTTTGTTACAGTGAATTTATAGATTTATTCCAAACAAGAAACTGCCTGAATGTAAACCACAAATATTTCAAAATCTAGCTTATTAGTTCCTAGTTCCATAAACAGTATGAAACTAATTGTCTGTAATGATGCTTAATTGATTCAACTGAAAAACTCACCTTTAGTACATTCAACTATAAGTATAATATCCAAACATCAAGAGAAAGGCTAATTACTTTGAAAACTGACACAAAGTATCTTAAACTGTCTAATGTAGAATCTGTATTTACAGTTTAGATACCTTTTTAAGTAGCCACAAATACTGGTTCACTTGATAGTTACCTAAAGCAAAATATTTTACCAAGTTGAAAGCCCTCTCTTTCTCCTAAACATAAATGAAAAAAGAACACCTGTTTTTATGAAGGGGAGGCCTAAAATCAGTTTGAGGAGAGGCAATTGTACTTTGTTCCCAATTTGAATCGATAAAGCTTTTAACATAACATATAATATTTTTGGACAACATGGGATCTATTTGTCCATCTTGACTGTTCCATCCTCTAAACTAAATTAAAACTATTAATAAATAAATTAAAAATATACATAATCTTAAAGCCAGCCCTTATCAAGTTTTTTCTTAAAATCACTTAAATTTAATACCTCCACAACATCTGAAGGTAACCATTCCAAAAGCCAACCACCCTGCTAAAAAAACTAAAACTGTCTTAGCTGAAGATGACTTGTACTCTGCCCAAATGTATATTTGTGTCCCCTAGTCCTACTATTCTCACTGTTAATTATGACAAAAGATGATGCATCAACATTATCAATTCCCTTTACTATCTTAAACACCTCAATCAGATCCCCCCAACTCTTCTTTTTTCAAGAGAAAATAATTTGAGAGATTTCAACCTCTCATATGACAAGTCCTCCATCCCAGGCACCATTCTAGTAACCCTTTCCAACAACTCAATGTCTTTTCTAAGGTAAGGAGCCTAAAACTGAACACAGTATTCCAAATGTGTCCTAACCAGTGACCTATACAATGAAATTATAACCTCTTTAGACCTAAAATCTTATTTGCTCTACCACTAGCAACAGACACTGTTAACACAGTTTGGATGGCTTAAGAGAGTGATCAACTATTATACCAACATTCCTTTCTTTCATGAAACTGTTAAGGTTATTCCCACCAAAATTATACTTATAATTCAAGTTATGATAACCCACATGCATTATCTTGTAAGTATTATGGTTAAAACTCGTTTGCCATTTATTTGCTCAACTCACTAAATGAACTAAATCCTTTTGTAAATCAGCAGCATCCTCCTAACAGCTAGCAACACGCAAGACCATCTACAAATTTAAGTAATTTATTGACCATTCCTTCATCTATAGTCATTGTTGTAAATCAAAAAGAGTAAGGATCCTGAGACTGAGCCCTAAAGTACCCACTTGTGACATTAATCCAGTTTGACTGAACTCCATTTGTAACAACCTTCTGTTTTATTCCATCCAGCTACTTTTCTATCCAGTTTACTAACTTATCCCCTACACCTACAGAGATAATTTTTTACAAGCCTTTTATGTAGTACCTTATCAAATGCTTTCTGAAAATCCAGATACACCAAATCTATACTCTTACCCTCATCTACATAAGTATTAACATGTGTCTTAAAACTTTATCCATTTAATCACCCAATGAGGACATTTCTCATTCTAAGAACCTGCAAATTGTGAATAGTCTCAACTACATTAGCGGAACCTTTTCATAATATTGACAGTAATGATATATAAACTGTTTAAAAATGCATCTCATCAACTCCAGCTTAAAATGAAGATAATCAAGGGGAAAATGACATTGACACAGGGAGATAAAAAAATGTTGAGATTTTAATAACATTATATTTTTTATTCATATCAAACAGCAATCTCAGTTTCATAGACACCATATCCAACTAATAATTAATTTTGAATCAAACATTTAATTAAGTAAGTGTTAATGATTCAGTTACAGTTTCATTTAGAGTAAACCACCTCAGCAAAAATACTGTCTTAAACCACGTATTTTATCTCATAGTTATGTTTCAACCTGTGATGTATGTAACTGAAAATTAGAATATATGTTTACTTGTATCTTAATATATAACTTTTAAGTAAGTAAGCATTTTCAAGCAAGTTATACTTCGTTAATATTTAATACATGAACTTTTATCTTTTACATACACTAGGCTTTCACTACACTAAACTGTATTCAAACTATTAGTATTAATTAAAAAAGAAAATCCAATAAACAATATATATTTGTATATAAAGAAAGAACGTAAATAATGAGGTTTCCACCTAACTAAAACAGGTGTAATGATTTGCATGCTATTTATATTATGAAGTTAACTTTCTTGTTAACATCATACAGTAATAGTAATGAAGTAACAACAGATAATCAAAACTAACTTTCATGTTTAACACTTACATAAACATATTTTGTGGATAGTAATTTGAACCAACAGAAAGTAAAATTTACTTTGAAAGTGAAGTCATTACAAGAAATTAGTTTTTGACCATAACTATTGATGGAGTCTTTCAAGAACTTTTGTTAAAATATACACTCATTTTTAACAGACTATATGAGGTACAAATTTTCTCATGGGTTATTTTAGAGTTCACTTAAACATAGTCAGTGAAAAAAAGGATTCGGAGGAAATCTTGAGAAATAAAATAATCATTAGCATTAACATTTCTATAGTGCACATATATATATATATATATATATGTATTTCAATGTGTATACATTTATCATTTTAACTTTTTATTTTTAACTTCAATCATATATATATTTACATATGCTATGTGCTCAGTCAAATATATTTTATGAAGTTTGGGATAACTTTTCCTTAATGACAGATTCTGCAAACCAATTCAAAGTAATCTAATATTTTTAAACACACAACCTATTAAAGTACTCTATTCACACAACTTTTTTTAAAGTATAAACTTCCATGATACAGTCCTGAAACTACTGCATTGCAGTTCTGTTGAACATTAGCTTGAGTGTAACTGGACATACAAGTATATAAATACAAATGAAGTTATAGAACTTAGAATAAAGCTGTTATAGCAACAAATGAAAAAATTACAAATGTTAAACTTTGGACAAATTCATGATTTAGGTTGATTTTTCCAAATGCTTTGCATAACACTATGTGATACCAATCCTCACACTCCCCTTCACAAAAACATTTCTGTCCTAGAGAGATGTTTGCATAGTATTGTATCAATGTATGTAAGTTCCTTTAAAATAAGCTTTTCCCAAAAGAGATACAATAAATGTTAGTATTGCTTTAATTCTGCTTTGGAAATTCTAGGCCTAGAAATTCTTAATTTTCTGGATGGAATTCTCACAGTCTTTTTCTCTCTGGTGTTAGTCATTTCAAACAAGTTTGCTTGCCTATCTTAATAATAAACTTTTGAATGGTTCAGACATTTGTAGGCTATCCTGGCTCAATGGATTGTGAGTGTGATACATCATAGTGAGAGTGGCTTCCTGTACACAACATCCATCCATCCATACAAACAAACAAAAAATGCCACAGTCAAAATAATCTTTCTTGTGAAGAATGTCAGTTGGAGCAACAAACTGCCAATCTTCCACAATTAGAAATTTCCTATTGAACTGATAAATAAAAATGTCAAAATTAGATTAAACAGATGCATGTGTTCCCCATGCATTGAATCTAAGCAAGTTATTATTATCTTTTTTTTTTTATCAATAACAGCAAAATCCAATGGCATACTTTCACATTAGCTGGGATGAAAAAAATGTTGGATTGAATTAAGATTTTTTTCTTCCGGTTTCAGAAAACCCATAGTTTTCTCACCACATTCAAGACATTACATGAAATGGGCAAAATAGAAAAAAAACTTTTATCAATTTATGTAAGAGGTTAGTAAGGGTCACCATTTGTTATTGGGTATTCAGGGTTCCAGGTTATTCTTTAGTGGATTATTTCTTAGTCAAACTCCATAATGTTTTGCCCTTTGGAATTCCCAGAAAATGTGTCAAGTTCATGGGTATGACATACAGTTTGTAATTTTATGTCTTATTGTTTGGGTCTTTTACCTGTGTATATATGTGACCTAGGATTGTTTACAATTTGTTCATGATGTGACAACTGAGTTATGAGACTAGGTTCTATTAAATCTGGTGCTGCACTTATATGTATCTTGTCCTTTACTTGTGGCTTCTCTCTGCCAGCTTTGTTTCTCTTACACACTTTTCTTTTGAGTTGATTTAAGTTGCAATGTTTTCGTGAACACAAAGATACAATACCTTATGACCTGAATGACAAACAACTTGATGCCAAATCTGTGTCATTTGGACAGAATATATCGTTTGAAAGCAAGTCGTCCTTTGAATAACACCAATGATTCATCTATCACAAGCTTTTGAAAAGGCTTGAACTTGTTTTGTATATATGTGAACATGTACCTAAGTTTACACATATGGTCTTCTATGTATGGCCTTCTAAGGTGTTCGTTTTCTGAAAAGTGTAAAAAATCTTAGAAGCAGTAAAAACCTGTCTCTAGACATATACTTGGTAAAAACCTGCTGAACAAAGGGTTCTTCATCCAGTAATAATTTATTTGATGTTTATTCACAGGAGCCATCAATATGATAAATGTGAGAAACACATACATTTCACTAGCATATGTATCTCATGAATGCTGCATATGGAGAAAAACCTTTCTCACTCACACAAAACTCAAAATACTTGTTTGTCTCAGACACAATATGATCTATCAAGGTACCATCAGAAAATGCCTGAAAATATTCAAGTCCAGTACTGTTGTCTGTTAGGCCACCATCTTTCTTTATCCCAGCCTCAGGTTATCAAACTCAAACACACGCGGGGTGAAGTTACTTTCACCTGACCGAACGAAAAGGAAGAATGCATGAGTGAACAGGTCTCAAGGTGCCTGCCTGTCACTGTTACTTTTCTCTGTCTTGCATGTGGAAACAGATCTTTCTCCAGCTGATATGTCTCATGAAAATATATTTTCCTCCTCATCACTATATTTGTCTAACACTCCCTGTATTTTCCTTGTGGTCAGTGAGTGCACTCGCTTTTGCGACCCACTCGTGCACATTCTTCTTCCATGCTTAATGGTCATCTTAGGGTAACTGGGAGCTGTAGCTTTTTTCTTGCTATTTATAGGTGTCAGGGGTAGCAGCTATGGATTACTGTTACAACCAAATATCAGCTGGGATTTCAAATGGTGACAGGAAAAACTAAAATGTCATATGATGTGTGAAGCAGTGAAAGTGTTAAATTTTGAAAACAGAGAGTCATAAACATATTTACTTTCAGAATCCAGAAGTTGGAGCAAAAGGGTATGAAACCACACCACTATTAGAATCAAGTTAGTGTATGAGAACAAAGCCTTGACATGTGTTGATATCATCTAATATAATTTGAATAGAATTAAAGGACAATTTTTAATCCCGACAGACTCGTGTGTCATCACAGTACCAGTCATTTCTTTTACTTATTGCATTATGATGATTTAGCTGCTAGTTTAAAACATTCATTTGGTGTAGAAAACATGTAGTTTCTAGCTTCCTCCAATGTTAATGGAGACCTTGAGAAGTCAAAGGTAATGTATTTTTTTTTCATATGGGAAGTACCTTTAGTGTTTTGACCTTCAGCACTTGTGTCCATTGTTGCTTTGTCTTCTGATCATTGGGGTTTTGTATTACCTGTTGTATCTATCAAAATTTTTTCTGGCTCCTTTGATTTGTTTTGGTGAAATCTATTAGACAGTTTGTCTGAACTGGGAGATTCTTGTGTCACAGTTGCACGGTTTGGTTTAGAGTTCGAAACTCAGAAGTTGGAGAATGGGTTTTTCGTCCTGAATTTTGTGTATCTATTCAGTTTGTTTTCGTGATAATCTACAACACCTTTTTGATTCTTATACCATGGCATGTATAGCTGAAGCATTCCTTATTCTAAAAGGTACATTATCTTTTTCAAACTTAATAGCGAGAATGGTAGACTAGGGGACAATATAAATTTTGGTAGGAGAGGAGTAATCTTTAGCTGAGACAGTTTTATTTTTTGAACAGGGTGTTTGGTCTCTGGAAGGGTTACCTTCAGATGTGGCAGATGCAGTAAATTTGAAAGGAGGGCTTGATAAATATTTGAATGATAAGGGATAACTGTGGCTTTTTTGTTGCATTTTTTAAATGTAATTTGAAGGATGGGATGGCCCAGATGGACCAACAAGCCTTTGTTGTTCGTAAATTTGATGTTATGATGCAAATTTTCCCTATATGGTGATTTTGTTGTGGTAAAAAGTAAACAATGGGGATACTTTTTTGTTATACAAAATTAAACAACATGGCTACTGTGTATTTTGTTAGATAAACAACAGGGATACTTTATGTCATATATAATTAAACAACATGATTACTGTGTCTTGTGCTAGCTAAACAATGGCAACTTTGTATCATACAAAATTAACAACATTGTTTCTGTGTATTATACAAGCTAAGGACAGTGCTATTTTGTATTTTACAAAACTAAACATAATTACCATGTAATGGTTGGAGACGGCTTGAATGGGTAATGAAGAAAAACTTTAATATAAGTTTAACATAACAGCAAATGTACAACATTTCGACAAGGTTTTGTCATCATCAGGTACAAGTAATTTACACTGACATGGATATATATATATATACTGTATTGAACAAAAAGGTCACATGACCGGATACTGTTGCAAAACTTAGAAGAGGTATCTTGGCACCCCAGGGTGTTGGTTTAGAGTAGGTTTGTTTTGTTCAATTAAGATGTATTCCTTGATTTTTCATTTGTTTATGTTGGGTTCTTTGTTTAAAATGACTGTGTTTTTAATAGATATACTATGGTTTATTGAGTTGCAATGGTGAAAAACATGGAACGGTTTTTTATTGTGTTCTGTCAATCTGGTTTCCAATTTTCTTCCTGTTTCTCCGATGTAGAATTCTGGGCAGTTATTGCATATTATTTTGTAAATGATGTTAGTATTGTTTGATTCTAAATAATTTAGGGCCGGGTTTTTATGAGAATTTGATGTTGACAGGAATATTGTGTTAAAATAATTACCATGTGTTGTATAAACAAAAAATAACCAACTTGCATCCTGTCTGCCAAGTTATACCTCTTAAACTTATTTATCCCTGTTTTTTTATATATATAAGGGAAAAGTTGTATTGTTGTTCTTTACTATTTATAACCTTCAACTTTTTTTTTCTCATGCATTTATCTGAGTGTACTTTTGTATGTTTTGCAAAGTAACTATAGTTTTTCTATAAAAACTTATGAGGAGATTTGCAGAGTTCTGTAACCTTGAATTACTATTATGTATATGTTACATCATGATCAGTGCTACTTTAACTCAACATTTGATTACAATATCTTTTTAAAAATTTAAATCAGTTCCATCTCATCAATCTAACTTGAAAAGTACAAGTTGTCAGACAGACATTACTTCTTTATCAACAACACGACCATGTATGCTGCCAGGAACTACGGTACAAGAGGGGATCCGAGAGTTGAACCTCAAGGCTCAAGAATATAGAGAATTAGGGTTAAATTTTTCCCAAAGAGACAAAACAAAGAGTCTACAGAATTCTCCATGGAGCTCTCCTTGGAGCTTGAGCCCTGCAGATGAAAAACGGATCATGAGTCGTTCTGTAGACAATCTCACCCTGTGTGTAAGAACCAACTCTCCTCTGCACCGTCGAAAGAGCATGCCGAAAGAAAGAGTCTCTCTGGATGGTGAGGAAACTTTGTTGATAAAACAGACTGACTGCCATCTTCCAACATTGAAAGAGTCTGAACAAGTACTTTATAAGCAATTGGACAGTCTCAGTGTGAAAGCCAGAATTATGACATGTTATGAAGCAAAATGTTTAGTTACTTTATTGCATTCAAAGGATGAGGAGACACAGGTGAAGATGTTGACAACTATGTCCAATTGTGCAGCTTTTACAGTAAATCAGGTACTTCTAATGTATATGGATTTTTCTTCTTCCAGTATAATGGTAATATAATTGTACTTCCAGTGTAGTAGTAAAATAATTGTGCTTCCAGTGTAGTAGTAGTAGTAGTGTAATTTTACTTCCAGTTTAGTGGTAATAAAATTGTACTTCCAGTGTAGGGGTAATATAATTGTACTTCCAGTTTAGTAGTAGTATAATTGTACTTCCAGTTTAGTGGTAATAAAATTGTACTTCCAGTGTAATGGTAATATAATTGTACTTCCAGTTTAATGGTAATATAATTATACTTTCAGTGTAGTAGTAGTATAATTGTACTTCCAGTTTAGTGGTAATAAAATTGTACTTCCAGTGTAGTAGTATAATTGTACTTCCAAAGTACTGGTAATATAATTGTACTTTCATTGAAGTGGTAGTGTAATTGAACTTGCAGTGTAGTCATAATGTAATTTAATATTCATTGTAGAAGTAATAGAATTAGATATCCAGTAAACTGGTCATTAACATATTGGAACCACCAATGGTATAGTTGATTCAGTTCTCAGATGTAGGACATAATTTCATGTTACACGTGTTACTTTTAGCCCTTTAGTTTAGATATTAATTCTTTGAAAGTAATTTGAAATAAGAACTTTAGTTTATGCTTATATTGTATGCGTAATACTATTTTCCCAAATATTTTTGCTCTAACATGATAAACTATTGGGCATGAAAGCATTTTGTGAAAGTGAATGACACCAAGATGTCCCTTAACTCTTTCAACTTTCTATAAGTTTATCTTTCACTACATTTGTATCATGGATAAGTGGTAAATAAATAACTAAAAAAATAGAAATAAAAGAGAATCTTTTTATTTTGTTGTAAATTTGTATTCAAATCAGGCAGACACACTTCTGAGGTGATACTTACCTCTTCACACAGAAAGCTATATTCCCTGTGCATCTGCCTTAGAGACTTGCATGCCACCAGCCTTTAGGCAACTCTGAACTAAACTCACAAGTTTTCTCATGATATGCACTACTGCACAATGATGTCAGTATGCAGCAAAAGCCCTCCACCAATAGTGGAGACAGGTAAGAGTTATTTAAAGGCTAGTGGAGTACAAATCTTTGAGGCAGATGCAAGGGAATATATCTTTTTTGTGTGAAGAAGTGAGTATCTGTCAGAAATATATCATAGGTAAGGAAAATGTTAACTTCTGAAATACTGAAAGCCTTTCATTGTTGAGTTTGAATTCATGCTTTCAGCAAAACATGCGACTCAAAATTTCAAAATTTCCTTTGCATATTTGCCAACTATGTTAGTTTTTTTATCCATGATCTTTCATTTAGTCACCTACCACTTGTCTTACTATGCATGTATCAGTGGATCTTACACAAGCTCCACTTTTCTGCCATAAAGTAGGATGACTGTTGACAGTCATGCAGTCTTTCTTTATCCACGAGTGATTCTGAAGTTCAAAATACTTGTGAAAGTACTACTTCTATTCAGGCTTCACTTGCTGCATCTGTTTCTGTTCATACTCCATCTGCATTAGCCTTCTTTCAGCAGTCTTCCACAAGCATGTAGGTAATTCTTATCACTGTATTGTTAGCATTTACAGGTCAACATATTTGTGTTATTTATGCTGAGACTTTTGAGGGTCTCCCAGGTGATTATCAGGGTTTCTTGGATGTCAACAGGCTGAGTAATGATCATCTTTCTTCTTGTATTTCATAATAACCCCTTTTTTTGTTCAGGCTTATTCAACTTTATCTGAGGAGTAGGATTTTATAGTCAGCCCTATTCTTAATGGAGTTGCTGCTGAACATATTTCCATGTTTTTCCAAGTATGTAACGTTTTACATCTTGAGCCTATATCTGCTACACCTCAATGATCCAATGTGCTTCTACAGGATACTGTTTTAGAATGCTTATTTCTTTCCCCTTCTCCTGACATTCAGGTTACCACTAATGCTTTTAGAAATAGGAGCCCTTCTCCCCATGATTTTTTGGTAGTGTCTTTTTCTATTCATTTATTGGCTCAAATGTGAGATATATTTTTTTTGGGGGGGTATCCACGTGATCTTCCACTCTGTTTTCACATCAATATTTTTGCTTTCATTTAATGGTTATGCTGATTTTAAGACTGTTCATCTACTCAGTTGTTAGTTGTAAGTTATAATCTTTCTGATAATTCTTTTTCTCAGGAGACAAGGTCAGATTTTATATGTTTCTTTGGCTGCATCACTTACTGGCTTAGACTTGCTACATGACTTGCATTTTCATTTGATATGTATGCTTGTAGAGCTATTTTGCAGAGAATTCATCGCCCCTCCCCCAGTATTGCTGATTACCTCCATTGGCCCCTTTCTTGTAACATTTTGTTCTTACTGGTATTTCTCCTGAGTTGATTGTTCAGTCAGGAAAAGCTTGTCAGCAGGAGCTACTAAGGGCTCTGGCTTCAAGGCTTACATCATGTTGTCATCCTACTGATAAACATCCACGTAGTACTCATCTTACTCTTGCATTACTTGCTTCTGCTGCTGCTCAGCCTTCTTTGTACAATGTTTCTTGCTCCTTTCATTTTTCAAAATAGTGATCCAAGTAGGTTGGGCTGTTTCAACTCAGATACTGTGTTCCATTTTCCATGGCTCTTCCTCTACATTATTTAGGGGGTCATTTGGGTTTGTGTGTTCATCTTTGAGCTCTATAGCTCCAAGCTGGTTTTACTATCCACTTTTATCAACCTCTTTCAAATTTTCCAATTTCTTTTCCACTTCCAGATGATCCACTTTGTATTCATTGTTTAGTTCAGGAAATTTTGCATCTTGTTCATTGGAGCTGCCATACTACTTTCTGTTTCCATGGGATTTTATTTTCATCTATTTGTGGTACTCAAGAAAGTAGGAGATTGGAGACCATTATTGGATCTGTTGCATCTCAGTAATTATTTGAACATTCCTTTTTTCAAGATGCAACTGATGCAAATTTTATGCAAGTTCCTTTATAGAAGTTGTTGGATGGTGAAACTGAATATCAAGGATGCTTATTTACACTTCCAATTCACACCTTCACATTATATCTTCATTTTATATGTGGGGAAGTAACTTATAAATTCAAAGCTTTGCCTTTTTGTCTGGCTTCTGCTCCCTATTTCTTAACACAGGTAGTCAAAGTTTGTGCTGGTCTTCTATGTGAGTGATGGATTGATTTGCATCATAATATGGATAATTGGATTATATAAGCTCAGTCATTTCATCAGTCAATGACTCATCCTAACTGGACCACCCAGTTGGCTTCCTGTTTGTCTTGAAATGTTCATAAACCCAATTATCGTTTGGTGGTTACCCAATATCTTGTACATTTCAGGTTTTGAATCAATACTTCTAAAAGTACTATTACTATTCACCTGTCTTCGATGCATCTGCTTGTCTCTTCTTATCCCTCTGCCAGAGATGTGCTATCTATTAAGGGGACAATGGCTTCTTTCCACAAGGTATTTTCCATGAGTCATGCTCAAGAGAGATACATTCAGTGAGATCTAACCTCACAATGTCACCTATCTACAATCTATTGTTTCAATGAGTTTTTGTGCCTATAGCTATTTTCAAGTACCTTTGGGTGTGGCTAAATCATGAGTTTATCATGTAAGTGCCCCATTTTTTCTCATCTTCCAAATTTGGTTCTGTTTATTAAATGCTTCTTTCTAGGGCTGGGAACTATTTTGGGATAACATAATTTTTTCGAGTCTGTGGTCTCCTTAGGAATTCAAGTCTCACATGAATCTGTTTGAATTTTTTGCAGTTCAGCAATGCAGTCTGTCTGTAATTTCTGTCTTTATTTCAATACCGTTGTGTTTTGGTGCACAAGACAATTTTACTGTGGTGGTATATGTCAAGTAGGATGGGTCTCATTACTACATTATTTTGCTACAGTCTCTTCTTCTGCCCTCCAATGGCTAATTGATAAACCTGAAAGCTTATATCACTAAAAACTGGGTTTTAATACTCATGATAGGTTTTGCACAGATAACTCTTTGTGTAGCTTTCCACTTAACAACAAATGAAGTCTTCTTCTGTGGCTGCATACACTTTGTGTCACTTTCTGAGCTTATCATGGGCCTGGGGTTATGCAAATTCTAGCATATTTTATATTATGAGTATATTGACTTTTCCAAACAGAGTGGACCTTCTTTGTCTTCTTGGTTGCTATCAGTTCAGTCAATTCATTCACAATGTTAGTCATTCATCTTTTGCCATGTTACTGGTCTCCTATTCTGGATCCCACTGTTTTAGAAATGTCTTCCCTTTGTCTTCTCCATCAGGTTTTGGCCAAGATCAGTAGATCATATTGCTGGGTTCTTCTGTTTGCTCTACACTGGCCTGCTCAACCATGGTTTTTCGCTACTCAGTCATCTATTTCAGATTTATTGTCATGTGGGCATGGATTTTCTTCCCACCCGCCTCAAACATCCATTTTTCACAATGATGTTTTAATCTGTGACTTCACGGCTGGTTTTTATGTAGCCCTTTGCGCAAGAAGCCAGATTCTCTTCAAGGGTAGCCCATATATTATCACATTCTGTTGACATTCCTTCCTGACAGTTTACCAAGCTTATTGGTCTATTATTTATGGTTGCAGAATTTTATATCTTATCTTTAACCAACTGCTCTACAGCTTGGCTCATTTTTCATGTATATATTTCACAAACAAGGTGTGTTGGCTTCCTCAATTTCTGACTATAGTGCTGCTTTTTCAACCACTTTCCATTTCCATGAATTTATTAGGCTTCTTGTGTTCTGATTTTTTAAAATCTCATTTGAGTTTTTGTTTACAGTGCCTAAGAATACCTCAACATTGTCTTCAGTGGGACTTAAGACTGGTCTTAAATCATCTAGCATCATTCTCTTTCTGATACAGTACATTACTTCTGCTCACATAAATAGCTATTCTCATTCAGTGCTGCCCTCAGTATCTAAAAAAGATTTTAAGCATGCCACAAGCCTTTTAGCTCCCCTTAA